TCTCCGGTCTTCTTGACTTTTTTCTTGACATCGGGTCCGATATGTGAGTACTAAGGGAGTGGGGTAGATTCTCCGTGATTCTCTTCTCACTATAATCCAGCGGTCGTCACCTCGTTGCTTCAGCCCGCCGATGCTCGTGGTGGACATCGTCGAAATCGATGGTTTAACGGTCGTATGCGTGTGTGTTGCTTGAGACGTTTTCAGATTACAGGACAACTTGATTCTTTTCAGGGCTTAAAGTTATGTTCTAATAGCTGCTTGATATTGTTGCTCGTGTGACGCTGTTCACTGCAGTATCACGTCTATTTAGGCCTGGTGAGTGTGGATCACGTCGGTAGATGGCTTGCTTTTCTTCCAACATTGTACTCAAGGGAAACTCTGGTCGTTGTCGTCGTAAGTGTATCTTGCTGTAGATGCGTCAGGAGAGAGTGACTGTACTTGATCCGGTTATGATCGTGCTTGATCTGGTCGGCCTCAATGATGGTACCTCTACGCGTGGCGACTAGTGGCAGCGGATCTCGAGAGTTCCACCCATTCTCTTCTCCAGCGACGGAGACCGAATCCCGAAGTTCCATGAACGGTTTCTAAGCCTTGATGAACAGTATCGAGCCAAGGTTTGAGTTGCTATCCCATTCGATGCCTCCAGGTGGGCTGCGGCGCCAGACCGAGGTGAGCGTAACAAATGCCATGAGGCGAACGACGGAGAAGGTATCCAAACCACCTCAGTCGTTTTTCTCGGATTGCCTGATGAAATATCCTCATGATAATGTCACAGCGAGTGCGAACTAGCTCATTTGAGGCGAACTCAGTATATTTCAGTCGAAAGATGGTCCTCAGGCAGCAGTAGCAAGCGAACCTATTTAATGGCGGTTCGCCATTGGAACTTGCGGCATTTTTTAAGGCAGATCTCAGCTCTCTGCGCCCGAGTAAGCCTGTCGTTGCTGTTCCGCGACTGCTTATTCGCCAAATCCGGGAGCCTCTTTATTTCGCAGATAACATTCGCTGAAGGCCGTTCCACTATCCGCCACCTGTAGATGCACCAGGTAGCCAGCAGCTAGGCTGGAACGCGTAATCCGCCTTTCCTGGTGGAAGGGTTGGTTGGTTGGTAGCCCTC